CCTTTCTGTTGGCTACTTACTGGATCACACATTAGTTCTGTTTTAAAATGTTGGAATCTCTCTACTGATTTCCATAGCGGCTGTGCTAATTCACGTTCCCACCAACAGTGTACGGGGCTCCCTTTTCTCCACACCCTCTCAAATCATCACATTGTATAACTTGAGTATATGTACTTTTTATTTTTCAATTAAATGTTTTAAAATTTAAAAAATAACCTACAATATCAGCTAATGAAATAAAACAGTGAGCTTCCTCTTTCTGGTAATTATGGGCTATTATTATAGAACCAATGAAAAATTGTCCTATAGAAATGTTGAAGGAAACATTCCCATAGAATTATGTTTTAGAAAGCATTTAAGGGCTGAAAAGATAATTGGGAAAGTTTCAGGCCAACAGTATGGGAAACTTGATTTCACTCTCAAAGTCACGGTTTCCAAGAACCTATTAATGGCATTGAGGGCTTGCGTGCGTGTGTGTGTGTGTGTGTGTGTGTGTGTGCGCACGTGCACGTGCGCATGTGCATGCGAGTGTGCCTGTGTGTGCATGTGTGTTGTGTGTGTGCATGCATGTGCGTGTGTGCGTATGTGCCTGTGTGTGCATGTGTATGTTGTGTGAGTGTGCATGTGTGTGTGTGTGTGCATGTGTGTGTTTTGTGTGTGTGTGTGTATCCTTTGGTCCTCACAAGAACTCTATGAGGTAGGTCCTAAAATATCCCCATTTGGACTTGAACAATGAGAACACATGGACACAGGAAGAACACACACCAGGTCCTGTTGGGGGTTAGGGGATGAGGGGAGGGAACTTGGAGGACAGGTCAATAGGTGCAGCAGACCACCCTGGCACACATGCACCTATGTAAGAAACCCGCATGTTCTGCACATGCATCCTGGAACATAACGTAATAAATAAATATATAAATAAAATGTCCCCAGTTTCCAGATGAGAAACTGAGGCACAGTGAAATTTTCATCTAAATCCAGTTAGTACATGTAGAAGCCAGAATTTGAACCCAGCCGCGTGACTCTAACTTTAACCACTGTGCAGCATGAGAAGTGAGTATCAGGCTGTTAGCTCGGGTGGATAGTGATGCCATTTATTTGAGCCAGGGAAAGACTGTAGGAAGAAGAGGATCTGGGACATGAAGCCGTGGCTCTTGTTTTACTGTGTTGATTGTGAGACATCCAAGTGGAGAAGCTGAGTTGGAGAGGGACACTCAGGCTTGGGCTGCAGGTTTTGAAGATTCATTCTGTGTCCATGGCAATTAATGCAGTAAAACAGAGTGATAATTTTCGCTCGGAAAATCATAGCATCAGAATGTACACGTCTTCGGCATTGCTACTCGGGATGAACATAGTTCGGAGTCTGAAGATAATTGAGCTGACTTGGTAAACAGCACAGCACAGACGCAATGCTGCTGATCCCAGCAAGGCTCTAACTACTTCCCTCTGAAGTCCCTGGTGCCCCATACGAATGTTCTCTCCAGCGAGATTCCTCGCACCTGCTAACAGAAGTTGCAAACTCCGGGAGCCCCAAATCACCTGTGCTGAACATAACAAATCATCCTTTGAACACTAAGAAAAGCCTCATTAGGTTGAAACTTCTGGTGGCTCCCCAAGGATGAGAACTGTGCTAACTCGCTCAGTGCCCGAGAGAACCCCAGTAAGGTCCTCTGGCGAGGCGGGTCTGGGGGCTGCAGCGGGTGAGGTCAGTGGAGGCTGCAGTAATTGTCCTCTTCCTGGCCTCCTAGTGGCCTCTGAGGACCAGGGCTTCTGAGCTCATTAGGATCTGGCAGGCCGAGACTGGGATGGGAATTGCAAAGAGACCTTCTGACGCACTGAACTCGTTAGTGAGGAAGATAGTGAGCTTGCAGGTGCTTCCCTCCCAGGGGCAGCAGCTCTGTCTTTGTGTTAAGGAAACACATCCCAGCATCTAGGAGAAGAAAAGAGCTTCTCGACATGACTTAGTGTAGCAGCTTAGCCATGTGTGCCAGCCCTAGGAGAACCTATCTCCTCTTCTGTAAAATGGGCAGGGCTCTCAGGTGAGGGGTTTTTGGTTCCCTCTTTGCATCTTCAGTGTGTAGAATGGTGTCCAGCATGTAAGACACACTCAACGAAAACGGGGAATAACTGAAGGGCTGACATGATCTTACTCATTTTCTTACTATAGCGGTTCCCAACCAGGCGTGGCTTTGTTCCCTGATCCTCTCTGATGGTGTGCAGAGGGGAGACCTGGTACCCCTTCTTAGCTAAGGAGGATCAATTCTGCAGGCAGGTCCAAGAGCATGGGGCATGCAGGGACAAGGCATAGAGGCCGGTGGGCATGAAGGAGGCTATTCACTTCCCTCAAGGGACCATCAACATGAATTAACACTTAAAATAAAAAATGAAAGTCTTCCAGAATGATGAGCAAGTCAAGTCATTCCATGGAAGGCCATTCTTTTTTTTTTTTTTTTTTTTTTTGAGACAAGAGTCTTGCTCTGTGGCCCAGGCTGGAGTGCAGTGGCATGATCTTGACTCACTGCAGTCTCTGTCTCCCAGTTTCCTGCAAATCTCCTGCCTCAGCCTCCTGGGTAGCTGGAATTACCAGCACCCACCACTACATCCAGCTAATTTTTTTGCATTTTAAGTAAAGATGGGGTCTCACCATGTTGGCCAGGCTGTAGAGCTGCTGTCTGTGTGGTCTTGAGCTACTTACTGCACCTCTCTGAACTTCAGCTTCCTCATGCTTAATGGGGATAACGGCAGTCCCTTCCTAACAGTTTTTCTGATTGATGATATTACATGAAATAAAATTTACAAAGTGCTTTGTTTATGACTTCGGGGAGGAATGAAGTTGTATTAACTGATAATAGACACTTATCCCCAAACAACAGGCTCCAAAGTTCCCCATGTCTCAGGTTACGTGGTTTGACATGCTGCTGTGACTTAGCAACACAGGCTGATAGAGAATTTCCATGACATTTTAAGGGCTCAAAAGATATGCTATTCCGTCGCTGGCTCATCCGCTTCCCCACGGATAAATATGGGTTATGTTTAGCTTACTGTTGCTGCGGACAGTGAACACTGCACGTTGCTTTTGTCCAGGCATCTGAATGTTTTTTTAATTTCATTGGACAGGCTGGTTGATACCATGGGAACAATGACCCTGAATTATGCATGTCTTAATTTAATAAGCTTTTATCAGTTTCCTGTGTCCAGTTCAGTTTGGCAGTCACGGTTTTGCTAACCATGGCCAGGAACTCATGTGGAAGAAGCAGACATAATTTTAAATTTTGCTGATGCAAAGAGAAAAGAGGGCTCTTCAGGGTCTTCCATCGGAATTTACATGCCTTGGTCCCAAAGTGGCATCACCAATACCCACCCTCAAATGGTCCGGAAATCACAGTTGTACAATGTGTCTGGAAGTCAGGGGCTATAGATATCAGTGGACTAGCACTAAAGACCACTGCTATATCTGCAGTACAAAGATAGACCAGCTGTTACTGTGTCAAGGTGATTGCAAACTTCAAATTCAACTGTTATTCATAACTTGTTCTCCAAAAGCATTGCTTCCATATGCCTGCCTTAAAGAATGCCTTTTTTCCCACATCCAGTCATCACTGGACTTTCTCAAAAGATTTTTTTTTTTTTCAATTTGATTTATGTAAATGCATTTTCTTTTTACTTTGATTTCCATTTCTTTATTAATGATGGAAGTTGAACATCATTCCATGAGTTTATTGGACATTTCTATGGCATATGTGTCATATATATACATATATGGAGAGAGAGAGAGAGGAGAGAGAGAGACGGAGACAGAGACAGAGACAGAGAGAATCTTACTGGTCTTACTATGTTACTTAGGCTGGTCTCAAACTCCTGGGCTCAAGCAGTCCTCCCTCCTCAGCCCCCTGAAGCTCTGGAATTACAGGCATAATCAGCCAGACACCATACCTGGCCTATTACCTTTATTTTAATGAACAGTTCGGTTGTGTTTGTGCAAAGAGTTGAGTGTGTATCTTTGTTCCTCAGTATTTTGCCCAGATCTCTCATATTTCGGTTTCAGGATAAATTCCCAAAGTGCACTTGAGGAAGGCAAGGGCATGCAGATTCTCAAGGCTGTTTGTATATATTAACAAATCATTCTTTAAAACGTGCTGGTTTATTCTTGCACAAACACCACCAGAACATACTCACTTCCCTCGAGGGACCATCAACATGAATTAACACTTAAAAAAAAAAATCTTCCAGAATGATGAGCAAGTCAAGTCATTCCATGGAAGGCCATTGTTTTTTTGTTTTTTTTTTTTTTGAGGAAGAGTCTTGCTCTGTCACCCAGGCTGGAGTGCAGTGGCAAGATCTTGACTCACTGCAGTCTCTGCCTCCCAGTTTCCTGCGATTCTCCTGCCTCAGCCTCCTGGGTAGCTGGGATTACCGGCACCCACCACCACATCCAGCTAATTTTTTTGTATTTTAAGTAGAGATGGGGTTTCACCATGTTGGCCAGGCTGGTCTCGAACTCCTGACCTCAGGTGACCCACTGCCTTGGACTCCCAAAGTGCTGGGATTACAGGTGTGAGCCACCACACCCAGCCTGGAAGGTCATTCTTAAATTTCTACTCTTGTTTGTGTCTATTTACTGCATTTTAAAGGTAATAAAAATTTATTGCAAAATATTCAAATATGTAAAATAGAAAGTATGAATTCCCTGTGATCCCATCTTTAAAAACCCCAGTAATCACTGTTAGATATATATCCTCTTGGGAACCCTTCTAGGTATTTATGAACATAAATAACTATTGCAATTATTATTACTCTCATTATTGTCTTACAACACTTCGACATGCTCATGTACCGCTTTCTTAAATTTTCAACTCAACATCTGACCTAGGCTATCTCTTCATACAGTAGCCACAAGTCAAATTTAATTCCCTCAATAGCTGCATATTATGCTACAGTATGGATATATATAATATATTTAAATGATATCTGTTGGTGGACATTTCAGTTATTTCCAATCATTTCCAGAATAGCAGTGTTTATTCCAAATTTCATAATTTTCCAGTAAACATTCTTATACATATATTTTGTGCCCTATGAAGACATGCGTACACATCTTCACAATATTTTTCTTTATGCAAAGTGCAAATGGTTGATGTTCAATTAGTGTTTTATGTTCTAGATGAATGGAGAATTTGCCCACTGTTTTGTAAGCTATCAGAAAGCTACATTCCTTCATCAGTAACCTTCTTGTTTATGATCACTTTCCCTTTTGTGGAATAGTTTAATTTTTATATTAATTTTTTACAAGTTGTAAATATTTTCCTCCAAGTTTGTATTTGCCTTTGAAGCTTGTGTAAGTGTTTTTGGCTTTGAAAGTTGGGACCCGGAAGGTATCAGCCCTGGCATTTTATTTTATTTTATTTTATTTTACTTTAAATTCTGGGATACATGTGCGGAACGTGCAGGTTTGTTACATAGGTATACCTGTGCCATGGTGGTTTACTACACCTGTCAACGCACCATCTGGGTTTAAGCCCCCCATGCATTTTGCATTTGTACTAATGCTCTCCCTCCCCTTGCCCCTGAACAGGCCCTGGTGTGTGATGTTCCCCTCCATGTGTCCATGTGTTGTCATTGTTCAACTCCTGCTTATGAGTGAGAACATGCGGTGTTTGGTTTTCTGTTCCTGTGTTTGCTGAGAGTGATGTTTTCCAGCTTCACCCATGTCCCTGCAAAGGACATGATCTCATTCTTTTTTATGACTGCATAGTATTCCATGATGTATATGTGGCACATTTTCTTTATCCAGTCTATCATTGCCCCAGCATTATTTTTTGAAAGGAGTCTCACTCTGTTACCCAGGCTGAAGTGCAGTGGCACGATCTCTGCTCACTGCAACATCCACCTCCCGGCTTCAGGTGATTCTCCTGCATCAGCCTCCTGAGTAGCTGGGATTACAGGCACCTGCCACCATGCCCGGCTAATTTTTGTATTTTTAGTAGAGACAGGGTTTCTCCATTTTGGCCAGGCTGGTCTCGAACTCCTGACCTCAAGTAATCCACCCACCTTGGCCTCCCAAAGTGCTAGGAGTACAGGCGTGAGCCACCGCGCCCGGCCTGCCTCAGCATTTTAAATCCGGAGCGGGAAGCCACGTGCTCTGACTGAGACTCGGCCTGGGCAGAGCGTTCCCCGCAACGCCACGCGCACCTCCGCGTTCCGCAGACAGTAGATGACGGGGCTGCACGCGGGGGTGCCCACCGTGTAGAGGACGGACAGCGCCGTGGTGAAGTCCGTGGGCTGCAGGCGGCTGGGCCGGGAATGCACGAAGAGGACCGGGGCGTAGAAGAGACCCATCACCGCCAGGTGCGAGGCGCAGGTGCAGAGGGCTTTTCGGCGGGCGGCTGCTGACGGCAGGCGGAGCACGGCCCCGCCAATGGCCACATAGGACGCCAGCGCGACGAATACTGACCCCCCGAGGATGAGGTTGCCAGAGAGGAGGCCCACCAGCTCCTTCAGGGTCGCGTGGGCGCAGGACAGGTGAAGCAGAGGGGGCGCGTCGCAGAAGAAGTGGTGGAGGACGCGGGGGCCGCAGTAGGGCAGGCTGGCCATGCAGGTGGTCTTGGCCACCGAGACCAGCAGCCCCCCGACCCACGAGGTCAAGGCCAGGCCCTGGCACCGCTGGGGCCGCATGAGCAGCGGGTACCGCAGCGGGCGGCAGATGGCCACGTAGCGGTCATAGGCCATGGCGGCCAGCAGGGTGCACTTGGTGCCCATGAATGAGAGAAAGAAGAATAGCTGGACGATGCAGGCTGCGAAGGAGACGCGGCAGGGCCCAGTCCACAGCCCCACGAACAGGCTGGGCACGGTCACCGACACGTAGCACAGCTCCAGGCCGCTGAGGTTGCCCAGGAAGAAGTACATGGGCTTGCGGAGTCGGCTGTGCCTGCGGACGAGATGGAGGACGAGCGTGTTCTCCAGGAGCGTCAGCAGGTAGAGAGTCAGGAAGAGGACAAACAGGGCCTCTCGTACGTCCTGCCTGGCGGACAAGCCCAGCAGGATAAAATCCTGGCTTCCGGACATATTGGCCAATTCCGGTGACCTCTCCATCTAAGTGAAGAAAGAAACAGGCTGGTAGAGACCGAGTCCGTGCAGAAGGGCAACGGGTAGGCTCCCCTGGAGCTCAGGAAACGCTGTGGGTTGACTCTTGTCAGGAAACACTGCGAGGAGCAACTGGAAAATTGCAAAACTAGAAGCAGAAAAGTAACACCTGGCCGAGCGCGGTGGCTCACACCTGTAATCCCAGCACTTTGGGAGGCTGAGGTGGACAGATCACAAGTTCAGGAGATCGAGACCATCCTAAGGAGGTGAAACCCCATCTCTACCAAAAATACAAAAAATTAGCTGGGCATGGGGGCAGGCGCCTGTAATTTCAGCTAATTGGGCTGAGGGAGGAGAATCGATTGAACCTGGGAGCGGGAGGTTGCAGTGCGCTGAAATCACGCCATTGCACTCTAGCCTGGGCAGCAGAGCCGAGGGAGGGAGGGAGGAAGGAAGGAAGGAAGGAAGGAAGGAAGGAAGGAAGGAAGGAAGGAAGGGAGGGAGGGAGGGAGGGAGGGAGGGAGGGAAGGAGGGAGGGAGGGAAGGAAGGGAGGGGGTGGGGGGAGGGGGGAGGAAGAGAGAGAGAGAAGCAACACTTTACATCTGTGATCTTAGGCAAGACATAACTTTTAGTTAAGAGACCCATTTAGTTACCTTATGTATAAAATGGAGCTGAAACCTCTTCCCATGAAATCCTTCATTCTTTTAGATATGAAACGTGGTAATGAGGAGGTGCTTTACAAAGAGATAAATGATTATTATTTCCTGACTTTTGATAACCTTAAGTGGTTCTTTCTAGGTCAGTTTTTTTTTCTCATAACTTTTGAAAAATGTCCCAAGACTCCAGGGGTCTTCTGCGCTATTTTTTAATTTTTAAAGTTTTATCTTCTTTTTGATTGATGTGTAACAATTGTCCCTGTTTATAGGGTACAATGTGATGTTTGATACATGTATACATTGTGTAATAATCAAATCAGGGTATTTGGCATATCCATTACCTCAAACCTTTATAATTTCCTCATGGTGAGAACATTCAAAATCCTCTCTTCTAATTATTTTGAAATATGCAATAGAATATTGATAACTATAGTCACTCTATTGTGTAATAGAGCATCAGAACTTATTTATTCTGGCCGAGTGTCGTGGCTCACACCTGTAATCCCAGCACTTTGGGAGGTTGAGGCAGGCAGATCACCTAAGGTCTGGAGTTCGAGACCAGCCTGGCCAACATGGCAAAACTTCATCTCTACTAAAAATACAAAAATCAGCTTGGCATGGTGGCAGACACCTGTAATCCCAGCTGCTTGGAGGCTGAGGGAGGAGAATCAATTGAACCTGGGAGGCAGAGGTTGCAGTGAGCTGAGATTCCCATCACTACACTCCAGACTGGGTGATGGAGCAAGACTCCATCTAAAAAAAAATAAAAAAGCTATTTATTCTATTTGACTGTCAATCTGTACTGTTTTAAATAAAGAAAGCCTCGCAGGTCCCTTATTCTGAAATGTGTACCTCTCTTACTTGGGTTGAATTTGTGGAGGAAATTTGTCACTATGTATTAGAAAAAAAAGTGCCAGTGGTAATTGTTTTTCTAAAAAGATGAATGAGAAATTTCCTCCCTGAATTCTTCTAAAGCCAACTCCTTCCACAAAGACAGTGTAGCACTTTTTTGGTTAGGAAAATAAACTCCATATATCATGTATATGTCTCTGAACTGGGATGGGTTTCTAAACATAGAGATCAATTTATTTTTAGTACTCTACCAAGTACTAAAAAGTATTATTTTACACATTTTTTTTTTTGAGATGAAGTTTCATTCTCGTTACCCAGGCTGGAGTGCAATGGCACGATCTCAGCTCACCACAAACTCCGCCCCCTGGGTTCAGGCAATTCTGCCTCAGCCTCCCGAGTAGCTGGGATTACAGGTGTGCGCCACCATGCCCAGCTAATTTTTTGTATTTTCAGTAGAGATGGGGTTTCACCTCGTTGACCAGGATGGTCTCGATCTCTTGACCTCGTGATTCACCCGCCTCGGCCTCCCAAAGTGCTGGGATTACAGGCTTGAGCCACAGCACCCGGCCTATTTTACACACTTTTATACAGTAAATGACCTGTTCCAAGGGATGGGGCTATGGAAGCCATTAATACTGGGATCTGGCCTGACTTTTGGGCCACGAGACATGAAGAGTAGGCTGTTTACTCTTACCCCTGATCACTCGGTACTTATCACCTGTCGTGTGTATTCAACAGCAAAACAGTATTGAGTGTATGCTATGTACCAGGTGCCTAATATCTAACAGTAATCAAAACCAATGTCCATGACCTTTTGGGATTTCTAGGTGGTAAGAGAGAGAAGAAAAACAAAAACACAAATGTAACAATGAGAAAATTTCAGTGGATCCCTGCTAAGGAGACCACACATCAGCGTGGGCATGCTTGGCAACATCTGGAGGAGGCTGTTGAAGAATGCACCATCAGAAGCAGCTTCTTTGAGCATGGAGGTGGAACGGCGTTCCGGGCAGAGTAGGAAAGTAAGTGCAAAAAATTTTAAGTTGAGCCGGGCGCGGTGGCTCACACCTGTGAGCCCAGCACTTTGGGAGGCTGAGGCGGGTAAATCATGAGGTCAGGAGTTCAGGACCAGCCTGGCCAAGATGGTGAAACCTGTCTCTACTAAAAATACAAAAATTAGGCAAGCATGGTGGCGGGTGCCTGTAATCCCAGCTACTCAGGAGGCAGAGGCAGAGAATTGCTTGAACCTGGGAGGCGGAGGTTGCAGTGAGCCGAGATTGCATGACTACATGCCAGCCTGGGAGACAGAGTGAGACTCCATCTCAAAAAACCAAACCAAAACCAAAAAACAAAAAAACCTTGAGTCAGGAGTGAACTTAACATTTTTAAAGCAAATGAAAACTAGAGTGGGTGAGGGATAGAGAAAGCAGAGGAAGAGGAAATTAAGCTTCTTCCCATCCATGTGTTGAGCAAAATCTGCTTCTCTGAGACAGCATATCCACCCCAATACATATTCTTCTCTTGGAGTTCTAGTTTCTCAGTTAACCCTCCCAGGTGCATTAAGTTTCAGAGGCTGACAAACAGGGCAATAAAATGAAACAAAGCCCAGAAGCACACTTGCATGCCTGCTGTGATTGATGGCATAACTTGTATTACAGATAAACGGAGAAGAGGATAAACTTTTAAATGAATGGTTCTTGTGTATTCAGTCATCTGCACAATGAAACAAAAAGAGAACAAAAACAGGCATCGTACCAGATGCATGAAAAATCAATTTCAGGTGAACTAACTTAGAATTGTAACATGAAATATCTCTAAAATTATAGAAAACTGTGGAAGTATACCTTTATGGCCTTGGGTTTATAGAAAACACTAACAATAAAGCAAAACGATTTAAACTTTGTCTTTTTTAAAATTTAAAAATTCTAATCATCAAAAAAATTACAAAAAAGGCCAGGCGTGGTGGCTCACGCCTGTAATCCCAGCACTTTGGGAGGCCAAGGCGGGTGGATCACAAGGTCAAGAGATCAAGACCATCCTGGTCAACATGGTGAAACCCCATCTCTACTAAAAATACAAAAAAAAATTAGCTGGACACGGTGGCACGTGCCTGTAATCCCAGCTACTCAGAAGGCTGAGGCAGGAGAATTGCCTGAACCCAGGAGGTGGAGGTTGCGGTGAGCCAAGATCACTCCAGCCTGGGTAACAAGAGCGAGACTCCATCTCAAAAAAAAAATAAAATAAAATAAAAAAGAAAAGAAAAGAAAGGACACAAACTAGAAGAATATATTGGCAATACATATAAAAGAGACAAACAATCTCTGTACAGAAATACTAAGAAATTGGTCGATCAGTATGCAAAAGTTGTTTCAGTGGAAAAATGGTCAAAAGGCCTGAGTGTATACCTCACCAAAGAATGACTCAAAATACGAAAACATGCTCATCTCATTAGAAATCAAGAAAACAAAAATCAAAACCAAAATTAGATGTCGTTTTATCCCTATAGACCTGATGTTAATATAAACATCTGAAAATATTAAGCTTAACAATAGGAACATGCATGCACCACTTGTGGGAGTTGATATTGGTGTGATCACTTCAGAAAGACATAACCATTGTCTGTCTGGTAAAGTGTAAATTTGGCTATGGCCCAGAAATTATATTTTGAAGCATCTTTCAGAGTAACATTCCTAGTAGCACTGTTTCGTTAGCAGAAAAGAGAACAGTGCCTTTAAACAGCCCAAGTGTCTAATAGTGAAATTCATAAGCAAATTGTAATCTCTTTATAGAATGAAGTGCTATTCCGTAAATAAATGAATTAATCCCACCTAACATCATGAATGAATCAATCTCAGAGGCATAATTCTGAGCCAGAAAAGCAAGTTATAGAAGTATGCAAACAGTATAGTTTCATTTATATAAAAGTCAACCTGTAAAAATTTTTCAAAATAGGCTGTTTATAAAAAAAAAAAAAAAAAAGGTATGTGTTAAAATAAAGCAGTAGAGTGATGGGCCCAAAATTCAGGATAGTGGGCCCTTTGGGGCAGGACGAGCACATAGAGTGGTCGTGCTCTTAAAATGGTTAATCATCACGCCTGTAATCCCAGCATATTGGGAGGCCAAGGTGGGTGGATCTTTTTTTTTCTTTTTCTTTTTCTTTTCTTTTTTTTTTTTTTTTTTTTTTTTGAGACAGAGTCTTGCTCTGTTGCCAGGCTGGAATGCAGTGGCGTGATCTCAGCTCATTGCAATCTCCAACTCCTGGGTTCAAGCAATTCTCCTGCCTGAGCCTCCTGAGTATCTGGGACTGCAGGCACATGCCACCATGCCAGGATAATTTTTTGTATTTTTAGTAGAGACAGGGTTTCACCATGTTAGCCAGGATGGTCTCGATCTGCTGACCTCTGGATCCACCCACCTTGGCCTCCCAAAATGCTGGGATTACAGGTGTGAGCCACCGCGCCTGGCCCTGGGTGGATCACTTGAGGTCAAGAGTTCGAGACCAGCCTGGCCAACAAGGTGAAACCCTGTCTCTACTAAAACTGCAAAAATTAGCAGGGCATGTTGGTGCATGTCTGTAATTCCAGCTACTCAGGAGGCTGAGACATGAGAATCACTTGAACCTGGGAAGCAAAAGTTGCAGTGAGCCAAGATCATGCCACTGCACTCCAGCTTAGATGACAGAACAAGACTTTCTCTCAAAAAGGAAAAAAAAATGTTTCATGAGCACACGGGATTTATTGCATTGTTCTTTTTTTATGCCTTAAACCCATGTTGCACATTTTCTTTTGCATCTACTCAATATTTATGTAAAAGTCACTTTTAAAAGGCGCGGTGGCTCAAGCCTGTAATCCCAGCACTTTGGGAGGCCGAGACGGGTGGATCACGAGGTCGAGAGATCGAGACCATCCTGGTCAACATGGTGAAACCCCGTCTCAACTAAAAATACAAAAAATTAGCTGGGCACAGTGGTGTGTGCCTGTAATCCCAGCTACTCAGGAGGCTGAGGCAGGAGAATTGCCTGAACCCAGGAGGCGGAGGTTGCGGTGAACCGAGATCGCGCCATTGCACTCCAGCCTGGGTAACAAGAGCGAAACTCCGTCTCAAAAAAAAAAAAAAAAAAAAAAAAGTAGCTTCTTCATATGTTAAAATTTGTATAACTGCCAAAAATCAACGTTTTGCATGTTAATTTTTAAAATAAAATTTAAAAGTAACTTTCTCACTCCAGTATCCTTGTTCTGTTCTCCAGAGGTAATAACAGCTACCATTTCTTATAGGTTCTTCTGGAAATTTTGCCAACATATTTATGCACTTGGTATAAATATCCTACCCTCTTTAAAACATGGCCAAAATCACACTCAAGTGTGGCTACCAAGATCTCTTTGAATCAAAATACTATTTTCTTTCTCTCATGCTTCAACATTTCCTCATTCATTTCAGCTTTTTTTCTTCTTTAAAAGTGTTTAATTTCTCACATGTTTAAATTTTCCTTAAATTAAATTAAATAACATTTTCAAGGGAGAAAATAATGCTAAATTTTAAGTGAATGAAATTTAATTTAAATTAAATATGTGAAAATTTTAAGAAAATGATGCTAAAAATATTAAATAAAAATTTAACTTAAACGTGAGAAGTTTAAATTACATTAAGGAAATTTAATTTAAATTTCTCTCATGTTTAAATTAAAATAAGAATGCTTCCAAGTCTGTTGGTTTAGTCAAAGATAGGGAAGATTGTTAAGATAGTCCTCCTCAAGTAAGAGATGAAAAAATGTTGAATAATATAAAGGCAATAAATTATTTATTCTCATTACTATTGTTATTTTATAATTACATGAAAGCAGTTCAGCACGAGGTGATAGGCATATTCTTGGTGGAACTTTCATCTTAGTGCACAATACCCCATTTTTCAGATGAGCACAGCGATGCTCCAAGCTGGTGCTTAAAGGTTTTTTCAACCCAACTTCTGCACTGACTGGGGTGGATGCGCTTCTTACCTCTGCCCAAAGTCACCTGGTCTGTCCGCTGTCCTTGGTCCTGAACATGGGTCGAACAGCTGCCTTGTCTTTAGTGCTGCTGCTGCTGTCCTTGGTGCTGAAATAGATTCCTACCAGTCTCCCGCCGTGGTGGAATTACTTCTTTCTCTGCTCCACTTCATCCCTGGTACTGATTCTGCTTTCTTTTTTTATGTCTACCCCCGTTAATAATTTAACTTCCTCATAAAACTTGTGTTGCCTTGCTTCTCTGATAATGTCAGATGCCCTAGAATGCCCCTAATTAGTCTGCTGAAGAACTGACAGAGTATCTTAAATGGTATTGGGCTGTTTGGGGATGACTCAAAGATTTTCAGTCCGTTCTACAAACATTTGTCATGGCTTAATTGCACCTAGAACTTGAGATATAGTCATGATTGACTTGTTTTTCCCCCCCAGAGAAGTTTGTGACGTGACCTTCCTAATCCTGAATTACTCATTGCTTAAGAAGACATTTCCTTCAAAAGTAAAAAGATACTACATAATTATAGATTTAATTTGTTGCCTGTATAGTATGTTCTGGGAAATTTAGATATAGTATCATCGATATATATTTTTTTCTTTTTTTTGAGATGGAGTTTTGCTCTTTTTGCCCAGGGTGGAGTGCAATGGCATGATCTTAGCTCACTGCAACGTCCGCCTCCAGGGTTCAAATGATTCTCCTGCCTCAGCCTCCCAAGTAGCTGGGATTACAGGCATGTGCCACTATGCCTGGCTAATTTTGCATTTTTAGTAAAGACGGGGTTTCTCCATGTTGGTCAGGCTGGTCTCGAACTCCTGACCTCTGGTGATCCACCTCCCTCAGCCTCCCAAAGTGCTGGGATTACAGGCATGAGCCACTGCACCTGGCCAGTCCTGTAGTATTTTAACTATGCCCCACAATAAGAAATACATTTCACATTGTGGCTGAGTCATAGTGACACACACACATAAACACCACATACGCAATAATACAGAAGTCTAACTAGACAACACTTACCTTTACTATTCTATGTTAATTTTAATGCTAATATTCACCCAATAAATTGATTGTGTAATTCTCAGTTTGAAATATACTGAGCAGAACTTTGGGATCAAACAGAACCAATTACATGCCATGCTCTGTCTACAACTAGTTTGTGACTTTAGACAAGGGCTCCACGCTTCTGGGTCTCATGGCTTAGTCTTCAGTGTGGAAATAGTGACCCTGACTTCATAAGATTGTATTAATTCCAGTAAAGTCTCCTTGGCACCCAGACAGTGTCTAGCAGTCCATAAATGTCCTGTAAAAAGGAAGACTTTTCTTATCTTCTCTTTTTTCCCACCAAATCAGAAGATCTTACTTTCTTACCTCTCAGCTTAGGTGAGGCAGGTCTTTCTTTTCCTTCCTGATGGAGACTTTCGGGACCGAAAAGTTCAACTTCTGCCTCTGGACCTGGCAGAACCTACCAGTGACGTGAGGCATTGGTCCATGAGTTCGGTGACCTCTGCGTATTTCAGACATGCTGGGAAAAGTTGTCTTTGATCTTGAGCAATGAGTTCTCCCTGGTCTTTCCTCATGTCTCCATCTCTGTGTTCTCTGGGCTGCCAGTGGAGCTCTGCCCTACAAGCCAGCAGCAAGCAGAAGAACCAACTTAAATACGAGAGATAGACCTAAGAGGGCTGTCCTAACCTCTGTGGATTTAGAGAGGAAATTGAAGTGAAAACTCAGGAAAGTGCACTGAGGCTTGGGAAGGTCACTTAAAGGTAACATTCATTTCAAATCTGTTCTTACACACCTGGGAACCCCTATTTGGTGCCAGGACTTGTGTAGGATACTGGCATTACGAAGCAGCAGGAGATGCAAGTTCTGTTCTCAAGCTGCTCCGAGGACACACATGGCTACTGATGCTGAAATGGACATTTATAACACCTTATATAAGTGGCAAGAAACATGTCTGCAGGCAGATAAGGGGACCTGGAGATTTGGCGAAACATTGTGAAAGGGATGTGTAAACTTGGTCTCTCAAAGGGTTACAAGATCACTTCTGCTTGATGTAAGACAAGAAACAAATGAGTAGACAGGATATTCTACCACTTCAGAGAAAATTAAAACATCTTATTTCCACTGCCTGCTGGATATTTTAGCTCCATAAATTAGTATTCAACATCAATCATTACTTTAGTGTAACGTATCTTTTCCTCTCTATGCCTAGATTCTCCAGTCAATGGGTATTTTCTCCTTTTAGAAAGTCCAAAACAAATTTGGGTTATCAAATTAAATTTCATTATTTAGTTTATTTGTTTTTCCCTTTTGTACAATCAAATAAAATAGATTTAAAAATCATGCACTCATAACTCTAGCATGGTTGTTTTTTTTTTGTTTTTTTTTTTTTTTGAGACGGAGTTTTGCTTTTATTACCCAGTCTGGAGTGCAATGGCGCGATCTCAGCTCACCGCAACCTCTGCCTTCTGGGTTCAGGCAATTCTCCTGCCTCAGCCTCCTGAGTAGCTGGGATTACAGGCACGCGCCACCATGCCCAGCTAATTTTTTTATATTTTTAGTAGAGACGGGGTTTCACCTTGTTGACCAGGATGGTCTCGATCTCTTGACCTCGTGATCCACCCACCTCGGCCTCCCAAAGTGCTGGGATTACAGGCTTGAGCCACCACGCCTGGCCCGGCTTTTTTCAATAAAAAAGGAACAGTAAGTAATACCATCAATGCACGATATTCTACAATTACTTAAAAATACACCTGTAATCCCATCACTTTGGGAGGCCAAGGCAGGTGGATTACGAGGTCAGGAGTCGAAGATCAGCCTGACCAACATGGTGAAACCCCATCACTGCTAAAAATACAAAAATTGGCCAGTCATGATGGTGGGCACCTGTAGTCCCAGCTTCTCAGGAAGCCGAGCCAGGAGAATTGCTTGAACCTGGGAGATGGAAGTTGCAGTGAGCCAAGATCGCACCACTGCACTCCAGCCTGGGTGACAGAGTGAGACTCCATCTCAAAAAAAAAAACGACAACATATTTCTGAGCTATGTTACAATCTGTGGTCTCTCCCAGATGTCCCCTGCCCCTCCCATCTTCTGAGGTCATCAGTGTTAACATGCTCTAGGTTCCATCCTTTCCCCATGGACATACACAACATGATGTGACACACACATGTCTGGATTTAAGCTCATTCTGCTCCCTCTGCCCAGAGGGTTCTGATGAAATGAAATCTAGTCCATCCCTCAAACTCAATTCCAGCAGAGAATGTTTCACTCACTTCTTCTTTCTCCAGGCGCTGAGAAGTAACCCTGTTTGCCCTCTGAGAGAGCATCATGGTGGCATGGAAATGCATCATCCACAGTATGTACCCCGAAATTCGATTGAATGCCTGGGCACCAAACCACATTAGAGGGATAGCCTGGTAACTAGGAGCATGAGAACCTGAATTTGGATTCCTGACCTGCTCTTCAAGGGTTGTGTGGCCTTGGCCTCCCAGAGTCTCTTTGTTTTTATCTGTAAAATGGGGACGATGGCGCTCACCTGCGAGAGTTGTGGTGCAGATTAAACTATTCTAGGCAGGTGAGCACCTTTCATGAGTCCTAGCACCTGTCAAGTGCTCTGGAAGCTGTTGCTATTATCAATCCCTGTAAAAAGGAAGTTACACTCGCTTCTCAGAGATGACGTAAACAGTAAATAGAGATGTGCGTGGATCTAGCACAGTATCACACATAGAAATTGTGTTTTATAGGCCGGGCGCAACGGCTCACGCCTGTAATCCCAGCACTTTGGGAAGCCGAGTCGGGTGGATCACGAGGTCAAGAGATCGAGACCATCCTGGTCAACATGGTGAAACCCCGTCTCTACTAAAAATACAAAAAATTAGCTGGGCGTGGTGGTGCGCGCCTGTAATCCCAGCTACTCAGGAGGCTGAGGCAGGAGAACTGCCTGAACCCAGGAGGCGGAGGTTGCAGTGAGCCGAGATCGCGCCATTGCACTCTAGCCTGGGTAACAAGAGCGAAACTCTGTCTCAAAAAAAAAAAAAGAAATTGTGTTTTATGCACACAATAGAAGGCTATTTGGCCATGGGAAAGAATGAAATCATGTCTTTTGCAGCATCATGAATAGAGCTGGAGGCCATTAAGTGAAACAACACAAAATCAGAAAGTCAAAAAGGCATGTTTTCACTTAGAGGTGGGAATTAGGTAAAATATACCCAATGAACTAGATTGTGAAATCATAATCTTTGGAGACGTGAAAGGGTGGGAGGAGAGCGAGGGATGAGAAATTAATGGGTATAATGTGCACTATTCAGATGATGGTTACACTGAAAGCCCAGACTTTACGAGTGCACAGGATAGTCATGTAACAAAACTGCACTTTTTGTTTCTGAGACAAGGTCTCACTCTGTTAGCCAGGCTGCAGTGTGGTAGTATGATCATGGCTCACTATAGCCTTGACCTCCTAGGCTCAGGTGATCCTCCCACCTCAGCCTCCAGAGTAGCTGGTCCTACAGGGATGCCACCACACTTGGCTAATTTTTTGTATTTTGTGTAAAGATGGGGTCTCCCTATGTTTCTTAGGCTGGTTTCAAACTGCTGGGCTCAAGCAATCCTCCCACATTGGCCTCCCAAAGTGCAAAGTGTGAGCCACTGTGCCCAGCTGAAACTGCACTTGCACCCTCTAAATTTATACTAAAAATGTGATGAGTGTTAATCCTTCCTTCCTTTAAATCTAAAAACTGCTTAGCTCCTGACACAAATATATTTTTATTATCATGTATTATAAGTATTGCCTTACTTTTCTTTCTGTGACCTCATGCAGGGCAGGGACCCTGTCTTTTATTTCTGTGTTCCTGAGGCCAAGTGAAGGCCTGGTTCACAGTATCTTTGGAACATTTTTTGGTCCAGAATAAAAAAAGTCAAAGACCTGGATCCTGACTCTTTGAAGAGTTTTTCTTCAATGTGAATTATTTTAATTTCAGAATGCTTGATGAACCATGTAGGAATGTCTGATGCCGTGGTGGTAGAACAGGGAGGAATAGCCTGGCAGAGGGAAGTCAGGTCTTCAAGGAATGGACTTATTAAATAAGTCCCTTATGAATGAAAATGTGTTTTCCAGTTTGTTACAGTAAATACTGCTGCAGTAGGTATCCTGGCACACGTAACTTTGCCCATGTATAGGAGTCTATCTACAAGATACGTTGAAAAAAGTAGAATGATTGGGTGGATATACACTTAAACTTTTTAAACATGTTACAAAATTATCACTTAAAAAGATTGCATTGCTTTACATTCCCATCAAAGACATCTAAGGATGTATGTTTTACATCCTCTCATCGACACTGCGTATGGATGCTCCATATCTTGCTATTTTCCAAGATAATTATAGTTTTTATAAGGTTTTTTGTACTTTGATATGAATTTTAGAGCCATTCCTATAAGATTTACTCATTTCTGTAAAAAAAAAAAAAACTTCCTTATATTATGAATGTATTGCATCTAGAAATCAGTTTTGGGAGATTGTCATGTTTGACAATATTGAGTCTTCCAAATCATATTATCGGTTATCCTAAATCTTTTCCACTTTTATAAACTCACAGGAGATAAATGATAGCATTGTTACAATATGCATTTGTTTGCTTATCAATGACGTCAGAATTGGGAGAGCTATACTAAACTACATTTCCCAGCATCCCTTGCATATCAGTATGACCATGTGATTAAGTCCTGGCCAATGAAGTGTGGGCAGAATAATGTGGGTAATGTTAAGTCTGACCCTTCCATGCTTGGGTGTGACTCATTCTCCTTCTGTCTCTCTCAATCTCTTTTTCCCCCCACTTCCCCCAACTCCCCACTCCCCCCCTCTCCCCCCATCCCCCACTCTCTCTCCCTCCCTTTCTCTGCCTCTCTACCCCACCCCACTTTCTCTGGAGAGAAAATATTACATCGGAATCTTCCAGGCCCTAGGGGATAATGACTGATAGAAGAAAAAATCCTGGGTGTCTGAACTTTGGGGAGCAAAGAGCCTCCTTGCTAAGCTACACTGAATTATGATACCAATAAGAAATAAACTTTGGTATCCTGGCACTTTGGGAGACCAAGGCAGGCGGTTCACCTGAGGTCAGGAGTTAGAAACCAGCCTGGCTAATGTGGTGAAACCCCCATCTCTACCAAAAGTACAAAAAAATCAGTTGGGTGTGGTGGCACACACCTGTAATCCCAGCTACCCAGGAGGCTGAGGCAGGAGAATTGCTTGAACTCAGGAGTCGGAGGTTTCAGTGAGCCGAGATAGTGCCACTGCACTGCAGTCTGTTATTTCCTCTCTGCTTCCTATGTTCCTGGCACATGGCTTATGCTGAGTGACTGTTGAGTGATGGAATAAATAGATGACTGAAACCACCTTTGCAAAAGTCAAAATTGAGAAAATTATGACAGCGAAAGAGAGCTGACCATTTTGCTTCTAACACCAAGCTGTTCTTGTTCATTCCCAGGGAAAGGCTGAACTTAGTTTATAGTTCCTTTATAGAGAGAAAGACAATAGCAACTTCCCAAAACAAGCCCTCTTTTGCCTGGGGACTAGACTGCTTTTGTAGGTCTAACAAATTAGCCACAAGATTAGAAATTATGGCCCAAGAGTCATGCAGCTGGAGGTTCCAAGATTCTGAACCTCCCCAGATTGCTCTGAGGAAATCATCGATATTGTAAAACCTGAGATCAGAGCTTGAGGTATTTTGCAGACCCTGTACTAGATGGATCAGCTAGAAACACCCAGATCAATAAACTGGCTCACCAGGTCTTGTGGCTCCCACCCAGGAACTGACTCAGTGCAAGAGGACAGCTTCGACTTCCTGCGGTTTCATCCCCGACCCAACTCATCAGCACTCCCAACCCACTGGCCCCCTGCCCACCAAATTATCCAAAAAACCTCCCATCCCCAAATTCTCAGGGAGACTAATTGGAGTTGTAATAAAACTCCAGTCGTTCGTACAGCTGGCTCGGTACGAAGTAAACTCCTTATTGCAATTCCCCTGTCTTGATAAATCAGCTCTGTCTAGGCAGCAGGCAGGGAGAGTCTGCTGGGCTGCTGCATAACTAGACTTTTTTGTGGGTCTAGGGGCAAGACATGACCCAACTGGGGCCCTTCCCTCCTGTTTATAAAACAAGGAAGCTTGGCCTCACTTCATTCCATAAACATACTGAGAGGCCGCCTTTGTATAGTTAGTGAGCACCAACCATCTCCCGTGGCTGTCGGCGAGTCCATGGCAGAAATGTGCCCTTCAGGACCATGGCACTGGTGGGCTGTGCTGACTCTTGAATTAGGAGCTTAACCACAGAAATACCTGCTTTATGGGTACAACTAATAGTAATACAGATTTTAGAGACACAGCCAAAACTCTCTCTTAATCTTTCTTTCTTTTGCTTTCTTTTTTTTTATTGAGACGGAGTCTTGCTCTTGTCACCCAGGCTGAAGTGCAATGGCACAATCTTGGCTCACTGCAACCTCTACCTCCCAGGTTCAAGCAATTCCCCTGCCTCAGCCTCCCAAGTTGTTGAGATTACAGGCTCCAGCCACCACACCCAGCTAATTTTTGTATTTTTTTAGTAGAGATGGGGTTTCCCCATGTTAACCAGGCTGGTCTCGAACTCCTGACCTTGAGATCTGCCTGCCTTTGCTTCCCAAAGTGCTGCAATTACAGACATGAGCCACCACACCCGGTCAACTTTTTTTCTTTCTTAAAAAAAAAAAAATTTTTTTTTTGAGACAGTGTCTTGCTCTGTTGCCCAAGCTGAACGATCTCAGCTCACTGCAACCTCCACTCCTGAGTCTAAGCAATTCAAGTGATTCTCCTGCCTCAGCCTCCTGAGTAGCTGAGACTCTAGGTACATGCCACCACACCTGGCTAATTTTTGTATTTTTAGTAGAAACAGAGTTTCACCATATTAGCCAGGCTGGTCACCTGCCTCTGCCTCCCAAAGTGTGGGATTACATGCGTGAGCTACCGTGCCTGGCCCAGACTTTCAAACAGCTCATAGCCTGTTGATGAAAACAGATAAACAGCTAGATATATCACCAGATGAGATGGGAAGCAAGGGAATTAGCAATGTGTTATAACAGTGTTGAGGAGGGAATTGTTTCAACAGTCATGACTAAGTGGTTGGGTACACTCTTGCATACAAAGTAACTACATCTTTTCTAGACATTATTTGGTCATGATCACTACATTAAAAATATCTTCATATTTATTGTAGAAATGCCCCCCCACCAAATCCCCAGCTACTACTTACTGAGTATTTACAATGCACTGGGCATTTTTCTAAGTTCTTACCCAGGCTCAAAACCACATTTATATGTGAAGGAAAATGAGTCTTAGAAGGGGCACGTATCTTATTCGTGATCACCCAAAAAAATGAATATTAGGCTGGGGTCCGTAAACTTGAAAACGTATATTCAACTTTCTCTTCTGGAAATGCCAAGCTTATCTGATATTAGGGGAGATCTCTGGAAGTCCAGGTAGCTGGGGCTCAAGCAAGCTTCCCATAGAAATTCCTTTACTGCTTTTATCACAGGAGAAAATCGGTGAGTCAGAAACACCTGGCTTCTATTTCTCACGAGAATTTAGAGCCAGGGAAACAACTGAATAACATCATAACAATCTTACATCATGTATCAGAAAACGTGTGTCCATCCTTCAAACCAGGAAGACTATATTCAGGAATCTGAGCAAACACAGTAATTCTCAAATTTTGTCACCTCAGAAGGCTACTGTAACTTTTTTGGTTTTTTGAGAGTTTTGCTCTTGTTGCCCAGGCTGGAGTGCAGTGGTGTGATCTCCACTCACCGCAACCTCCACCTCCTGGGTTCAAGTGATTATCCTGCCTCAGCCTCCTAAGTAGCTGGGATTACAGGCACGCGCCACCATCCTGGCTAATATTTTGTATTTTTAGTAGAGACAGGGTTTCACCATGTTGGCCAGGCTGGTCTCAAACTCCTGACCTCAACTGACCCACCCACCTCGGCTTCCCAAAGTGCTATTTTATGTTAACGCAATTTTTATGAAATGATTACTAATAAATAAGACATTGTTTTCCTTGTTTAATCCCCTTAATGTTCTCCTTAATAGAAGGGAGAGGGATTCTCCAATCTGTTTCTGTTTTTTTTTGTTTTTTGTTTTTTGTTTTTGAGAGAGAGTCTCATTCCGCTGCTCAGGCTGGAGTGCAGTGGCATGATCTCGGCTCACTGCAACCTCCGTCTCCCGAGTTCAAGCGATTCTCCTGCTCTGGCCTGTTGAGTAGCTGGGACCACAGGTGTGTGCCACCATATCTGGCAGAAAATGCATTTATTTAGCAGTCAACACATTTTATGTACAGGCACTTTTTTAAACCAATGGAGAAACCAGATTATCAACACTGTAATGCTCACCTTAATACCTTCAGAATATGCATGGACTGAAGGGAATTCTGAATGCTGGAGTCATATGTACACTATTTCTGCTTGGTTTCTTCCATCCTAAGAACTGGTCCTAATACATGGCATTTCCTAAGTGACTGGGGAGTGATTCAATAAATACATAATCAGTCCTTATGTGGAGCTGTGGGAAGCGCATAACCCGATTGTGGCTTTCTCTTTTTTGGCTGTAGAACCTGCCTTCTCTTTATTCCATAAACGTGCAGCATGGTCACCTTTCCACAAGTTAGTTAGGATCAGCGGCCTCCCATATCTGTGATGGAGTCCATACTCTTGCACTTTTCAGCATCTGCAACAGGTCTTGGTCAATGGTGGGGTTGCGCTGATTCTTGAAACAAGAGTTTAACCAGGGAAATCGTTACCAGATTTGGGAGTGCAAACTACTGGTGATAGAGGTTTTCAAGGCAAAGCCCAGAACCTTAAAAAGTTCATGTCCTGGCCGACCATGGTGGCTCATGCCTGTAATCCCAGCGCTTTGGGAGGCCAAGGTGGATGGATCACCTGAGGTCAGGAGTTCAAGACCAGCCTGGCCAACATGAAGAAACCCCATCTCTACTAAAAATAAGTAATTAGCTGGGTGTGGTGGTGGGCCCCTGTAATCCCAGCTGCTCAGGACGCTGAGGCAGGAGAATCGCTTGAACCCAGGAGGCGGAGGTTGCGGTGAGCCGAGATCAAGCCATTGCACTCCAGCCTGGGCAACAAGAGCGAAACTCTGTCTCAAAAAAAAGAAAAGAAAAGAGAAACTGTGGGACTTCCATGTCACTTTCCTTGTCTCTGCGGCTGCACTTGGATGGAGAAGACCTGCCCCTCCCCCGCTGCCTGGCCTCACTGTTTCCATGGTGACTCATCTCCAGGGACACCGAGGGTTGCTAGGCAACCAGACCAGCTCCTCCATTCTCCTTTCTCCCCAGAGAACACCTCCTGCATTCCATCTTTGTGATGCTGGGTCTCTGTGAAGAGGAGCAATCCCCACATGGAAATCAGCATGGATGAGGAGTGAGGGTGGCAGGGTCCAGTCTGAGTCCAAGGTTTGAGAAGCCGAGCGGTGGTGTGTCCAGCACACACACACACACACACACATCCCATTGGTAAGTCATTATTATTCACCAATGAAAGAACAAAATTTCTCTTGAAAAGAGAAAAAGGAATCGCTACACAGACATTAACATGACTCTTTTTTTTTTTTTTTTTTTAATGAGACAAAGTCTCACTGTGTCACCCAGGCCAGAGTGCAGTGGCATTGGTCTCTGCCCAGTGTAACCCCCACCTCCCGGGTTCATGTGACTTTCATGCCTCAGCCTCCTGAGTAGCTGGGATTACAGGTGCCCGCCACCATGCCCAGCTAGTTTTTGTATTTTTAGAGATGGGGTTTCACCATGTTGGTCAGGCTGGTCTCGACCTCCTGAGCTCAGGTGATCCACCCACCTCGGTCACCCAAAGTGCTGGGATTACAGACATGAGCCAACATGCCTGGGCCATGACTACTGTTTCTAAAACAGAAAATGACACATACTGGCAGAATTTGGAGACATGGGACCCTTCTGCACAGTTGCTGGGAGTGGGATATGGTGTAGAGTCTGCAGAACACAGTAAGATGGTTCCTGAAAAAAAAAATTAAAAATAGAATACCCATACAGTCCAGCAATGCCCCTTCAGGGAATATATTTGAAGGAATTAAAGGTGGATCTTGAGGAAATATCTGTACACTCATGACCATGGTGAGTAACACCACCATGGTCATGAGTGTACAGATATTGGAAGCAACCCACGTGTCCATCAGAGGATGAATGGGAAAAACAAAATGCGGTCTACACATACACTAGAATGTGATTAAGCTTTAAAAAGGAAGAACGTTCTGGCACGTGTCAATGAACCTTGAGACATGATGCAACGTTCAGTCAAAAAAAAGGGCAAGTACTTTCTGACTCCACTGTCATGAGATGCCTGCTGAACTCACATTTGGAGACCCAGAAAGCAGAATGGTGGGTGCCAGGCGCTGGGAGTGGGGAGAACAGGCAACTATGTTTCATTCATACAGAACTTCAGCTTTGAAACATAATAAGAATACTAGAAATGTGTGGTGACATTGTGGCAGAACAACGTGAATATACTTAATACTGCTGAACTGTACACCTAAATTGGTGAAATATAAATATTATGTACATTTTACCATATTTTAAAAAGTACATGATTTAAATATCTTAAAGCATCTATTCAAGGATTAATATTGTGTTTTAAAATGGTTAACATAGCAATTTTTTTTTGAGATGGAGTCTCCTGCTGTCCCCCGGGCTGGAGTACAGTGGTGCGATCTCAGCTCACTGCAACCTCTGCCTTCCAGGCTGAAGCGATTCTTCTGCCTCAGCCTCCCAAGTTGCTGAGATTATAGGCGTGCACCATGCCTGGCTAATATTTTTTTATTTTATTTTTAGTAGAGACAGGGTTTCACCATGTTTGCCAGGCCGATCTTGAACTCCTGACTTCGTGATCTGCCTGCCTCAGCCTCCCAAAGTAATGAGATTACAAGCGTGAGCCACTGCCCCCGGCCACAGAATTCTTAATACTTTCCCTTTTTACCCTTGACTTGTTGGAAAACACAACTCTTAATATTAGAATTAGCCGATTGGATTCTGTAAAGCTCAAAGCTGTATCTGAATCGAATCACCACATATTGCTATTGGTAATTTGTTCAATGGGAGGAATTGAATGTATCACACACAATTTGTGTATCACAAAACTATTTTATTCTCTTTGGAGCGTGCTGTATTTTCAGCATGTCACAATCCTCATTCTTTCAGTTCTTACTCCTCTGGAACAACCAAGACTGCAAAAAAATAAAACCATGGGGTGACCTCTTGAGTGCTGGCCTCAGAGCTAGTCCCAGAAGTCGGCTGACCACGTCTTGAAAGAATAAACACCTCCCACCATTGTTCACACTAATTGTGCCTTTCATTTGCGTCTCCTCAGAAGGAAAGCCAAGAATGAAATTCCTGTGGAGAACAGGATCCTCCTCATCGTTGGAGGTGAGAGTTGAAGTCCAGTTCCAGCACAGTGTGGGATAGTGCACATGGCCAATGCCTGTGCTATTTCTAGAGCGGAGGGAAGAAAGGGAAGAGAATCCCCTGAGACATCTAGAATCGGTGACTCAGCTGCAATTCTGGGTGTACCATGTGATACTGAGGTTTGATAACAAATGATTCCCTTACCCAGGTAGTGAGCACAGGACTCAGAAGTTAGTTTTTAAACCCTTGCCTCCCACCCTCTCTTCCCCTCTAGTAGGATTCCCAGGGTCTGTCGTTCCCATCTTTATGTCTGTGAGTACCCAACGTTGAGCTTCCATTTATAAATGAGAAATGGTGGCATTTGGTTTTTCTGTTCCTGCATTAGTTCACTTAGGATAATGGCCTCCAGCTGCGTCCATGTTGCTGGGCAAGGTAGCAAGACCTCACCTCTACTAAAACAAAAATAAAAATAAAAAAAACAGGTGGGCATAGAGGCATGTGCCTATAGTCCTAGCTACTCAGGAGGCTGAGGTGAGAGGGTCACTTGTACCTACAAGCTTGAGGTTACAGTAAGCCATGATGACACCACTGCATTCCTGCCTGAGCAACAGAGCAAGACCCTGTCTCAAAAAATAATTTAATTTAATGTTCTTAGAAAAATAGTTTGAAGTTGTGGACCCCTTACAAAGGTCTTGATTTACTACATTTGGAAATTACTGGCCTAGGAGAGACAAAAATAATCAACAAGAAATTACAAATGGAGACCATCAGAGTGTACAGATGAGAGGTTATTAATTAAAGAAACTGTGAAATGTCCACATCACTTTTTAAATTCTGTGCAGCTGCATTTGGCTGGGGCAGAGCAGCCCCTCCCCCGCTGCCAGTTTTCACTCTGCTTCCATGGCGCCTCATCTCCAAAGGCACTGAGCGTTGCTTGGCAACCAGACCAGCTGCCCCATCCTCTCCCCCTGCAATGAAGAGCTACTGCATTCCTGCTGTTTTATCCTCATACCTGCAATTGTCTGCAGAGGAACCCTGGATACATTAAAATGGAGGGAAGAACAGCAACATTCCACATCTGACACCACAGAAACTACCAGCTACAGTGGTTCAGAGTCCGCATTTGATCTCTCTACATTTCCTGGGCTGACACAATGTCTCCGTGAAGCTGAGGTGTCAGCGCTTGCTGTGAAGAAAAGCAATCACCAAAAGAAAATCCGTGAGAATGAGGAGTGAGGGTGGCAAGGTCCCATCTGATTCCAAGGTTTGAGAGGTTGCATGGGGCCCAGCAGACACACATACCCCATTATTCAATAATTGTCGTTATTGAAAAATGGAAAAAATATATTTTGAGAGGAGGAAGTAACCATCACACATTGTTAACATGGGTGTTGTCCATAAAACTGAATATACCAAGTGTTGGCGGGCTACGGAAAAGTAGGAACCCTTCTGCCTGTTGTTGGGAATGTGATGGACACAGGTGCTTTGGAGGGAGATGGTTTCTGTTAATCTCAGAATAAAGTTACCAGGTGGTCCAGCAATTCCTCATCTGGGTAGATACCCCAAAGACTTGAAAACAGTGGGCCAGGTATGGTGGCTCATGCCTATAATTCCAGGACTTTGTGAGGCCGAGGCTGGTGGATCACAAGGTCAGGAGATCAAGACCAGCCTGGCTAGCATAGTGAAACTCCGTCCCTACTAAAAGTACAAAAAACTAGCTGGGCATGGTGGCACGCACCTGTAATCCCAGTTACTCAGGAGGCAGAGGCAGGAGAATCACTTGAACCTGGGAGGTGGAGGTTGCGGTGAGCCGAGATCACTCCACTGCACTCCAGCTTGGGTGACAGAGCAAGACTCCATCTCAAAAAAAAAAAAAGAAATTGCAATAGTGGTTCCCAGGGGCAGAAAGAGAAGGAATGGAGAGTTCGTGTTCCCTGAATATAGAATTCCAGTTTTGCAATCTGAAAACTACTCTGGGTATGGAAGGTGGTGATATTTGTGGAAAATGTGAATTGCACACTTAAAAATGATTAAAATATCAATATTGAATTAGGTCATAATTTATCCCATCTTAGATTTGAAAATTTAAAAAAATTTTAAAGTCTTTGCTTATGAATTAATATTAGCAAAATATGAACTATATGGTAAATTTTATATCCTGTGGTGTTTGCCAGATTTTTAACAAGAAACGCCTATTCACTTTCCAGTGCTTCAACAGCGCCATCTAGCTGTGACAAAGGCGCTGGACAGCATTTGATAAGATCATATGCATTGCCTCAAATGAGAAGAAAGAAAAAAATGGGCCGGGCGCGGTGGCTCATGCCTGTAATCCCAGCACTTTGGGAGGCCGAGGCGGGTGGATCACGAGGTCACGAGATCGAGACCATCCTGGTCAACATGGTGAAACCCCGTCTCTACTAAAGATACAAAAAATTAGCTGGGCATGGTGGTGTGCACCTGTAGTCCCAGGTACTCAGGAGGCTGAGGCAGGAGAATTGCCTGAACCCAGGAGGCGGAGGTTGTGGTGAGCCGAGATCGCGCCATTGCACTCCAGCCTGGGCGACAGAGTGAGACTGTCTCAAAAAAAAAAAAAAAAAGTAATCAAAAATGTTTTAAATATGTTATAAAAACATTATCTTAATAGATTTTTTCTTGATCTTGGCTTATCAGTGTTTTGAACCCTTAGGTTTCCTTATTAGAGTTCTAGAAATTGGTTTTTAGTTCATTGATTTTTATTTTCGTTTTTGAGACTGCGTCTCACTCTGTCGCCTAGGCTGGAGAGCAGTGGCAGAATTTTGGCTTACTGCAATTTCCACCTCCCAGATTCAAGCTATTGTCATGCCTCAGCCTCCTGAGTAGCTGGGATTACAGACATGAACCACCACACCTGGCTAATTTTGGTATTTTTAGTAGACACGGGGTTTCACCGTGATGGCCAGGCTGATCTCAAACTCTTGACCACAAGTGATTCACCTGCCTTGGCCTCCCAAAGTGCTGGGATTACAGATGTGAGACCCTGCACCCAGCCCATTGATTTTTAAAAATATATTTATTTGTAATGTATTGAAGGAGTCTAAGTGCGAGTTTCTTACATGCGTATGTCACATAGTGGTGAAGCCTGGGTAGTTCATTGGTGTGAGTTATCAGAAACCTGTGTTCAAGAGGACTCAGCATTTTTTCCATAAAAAGCAAATCTGGGTGAAGGGCTCCGTGGCTCTTGGCTGTAATCCCAGCACTTTGGGAGGCTGAGGCTGGTGGATCATGAGGTCTGGAGCTCAAGACCAGCCTGGCCAACATGGTGAAACCCTGTCTATACTGCCACCAATTAGCTGGGCGTGATGGCAGGCACCTGTAGTCCGAGCTACTTTGGAGGCTGAGGCAGGAGAATCACTTGAACCCAGGAGGCAGCGGTTGCAGTAGAGTAGGTGTCCAGCCTAGGTGACAGAGTGAGACTCTGTCTCAAAAAAAAAAAAAAGAAAATTTGGACTATTGCTGATTACAGATATTTTTAGAGTAGAATTCAAAATGGTAACTGTGATGATGGAAACAGTAGTTATGATGAGAATTGATACAAGTTCCCAATTCACAAGAAAATTTAATTTCTTATTTTATGTGCAGCATTTTAAGAAGGTAACCAGAATCATGACTGACAGCATCACATCAGGACCACCAGACAGTTATTTGTTTGTTTTTGAGACAGAGTCTCACTCTATTGCCCAGGCTAGAGTTCAGAAAGTGGGTGGGGAAGATTTTTAAATATATATATATATATATTTTATTTTTTGAGACAGAGTTTTGCTCTTGTTTCCCAGGTTGGAGTGCAATGGTGCAATATTGGCTCACCACAACGTCCACCTTCCAGGTTTAAGTGATTCTCCTGCCTCAGCCTCCCAAGTAGCTGGGATTACAGAGATGCTCCACCACACCTGGCTAATTCTGTATTTTTAGTAGACATGGGATTTCTCCTTGTTGGGCAGGCTGGTCTCAAACTCCCGACCTCAGGTGATCTGCCCACCTCACCCTCCCAAAGTGCTGGGATTACAGGCATGAGCCACCATCTCTGGCCTAAATAACATGTTTTTAAAAGCCACATTGTCCTACATTGCCCATTTCTCTTGCATATTTAGGAAATTGAGTTTTTTTCTAAAACATGCTGACATATGGGAAATATGATGCAAAATGTTCATAAATGTTTTAGACAAAGTTTGAGGTTTCCAAGAGATTTTGTGCTGGGGAGGCTGCTTGCTACAAGCTCCCAGAGCTCTGGGAAAACATAGTTATTCATCCTCCCTCAGCAGAGGTGGTGAGACGATAAGCCCTGGGGCACACCCGAGCCTTGGGCTTTTAGCATAGAGTGTTCAGGTCTTTATTGTTTGGGCCCATGGCACAGAGAGGTCCTGGGTCTCTGGCTTCCTGTGACCTTTGCTTTCCTTGCCAACAGAAAATCTGACCCTCCAAAGCAAGAAACTTGAGGGCCTGGGTCACCCCAGCCCTGGTATCTGCCCAGAGCTTGAGAAGGAAGGACCATTCTCCAGCTACCTCACAGGGCTGGCATAGGCGGTCGCTCTGTGGATCACTCAGCTGTGTCAGGCACATGAACCCCATCTGCAGGAATTCGAGGAGGAAAATACAAAAGTCTTTACGTGAGCACTGAGAAGGCAGATGCAGCAGAAACCTCCAGGCGGTAACTACCAGTCTGGGACTTGTGGTGGAGAGAGAGCCTATTGGCGATCACGTGTACTTACACTCTAGGGTCGCCAGGCGGCACTGTGGCCTCATCTGTGGCTCTGAAAAGGAAGATTTGGAAGATCATCACAGCTATTGTTTAAAAAGCCCCTACTATGTGCCAAATCATTCACTCCTGGCAACAACCTAAGGAGCTAGGGATTTTTATTATCTATATTTTATAGCGAAGGAAACAGAGACATAAAGAGGTGAATTATCTTGCCCAGGTCACTCAGCTAATAAGTGGTGGAGGCCGAATCGGACCTGAACAGTGTGGCTGCGGAGCCCACATGCATTCATTCCACAAGTGCTTATTGGGCACCTGCCATGCACAAGGCCTTGTGTGATCAAATACGGTTATGATTAATAACATTACAATGACAAATCACTGATACTTTTTAGAGGTAAGATTTTTTTTTATAAGTTTCAGGCGCAGAACTGTATATGCAATAACAGTGAAATTGATCCCACTAGTTATGACAGAAATGATGATACATTTAAATGAGTTGGATGTTTTAGAGGTTTCACCTCATGAATCCTCGACAGAAACTGAATGAGTGAAATTTATTGTTCCCATTTCACACAGAAGGAAACGGAGGTGAAGAGGGGTAGAGTGACTTTGCATGGCATGAAGTAGAAACCCAAAGTACAGGAGTTTGAACTTGGTTCTGACGTTTTCTGAGGCCCCATGCTCTTGACCACTATAGACTCAAGCTTTTCCACTCATTCAACAAACATTTTTTTTTAATTGTCTAACAGGTTGGCACTCATCATGAGCTTCTGTTCCCATTCTGCAGGTGGTGAAGCCCTCTATTGTCCTGACCCCACAGTTCCTGTCCCATGACCAGGAGCTCACCAAGGAGCTGCAGCAACAGCACGTAATGTCAGTGCCATCCCACATGCGAGCACGTGAGGAAGGTGAGTGAGTGCAGACAGACAGGGCCTGGCGCCCTTGAACAGTTCCTGGTCTCGGCTGCCCCACATCTCACAGGGGGCCACGCTGGGGAAAGCGTAGGCTGTCACAGTTCTGGCTTTTCCCTCCTTTTTCCTTCCATGCCAGTGTCTTAGGAATGGGGCAGACTAGTTGACTTATTTGGATAAAAACTGCTGTCTTGTGTCAGAAACTCAGAAAGAATCACTGCTGCATGTTAACCTAAAGAAAAAGAAGAAGACAAATGCCCAGTGATACTTAACAAGCTTATTTATTTATTTACTTGAGACAGAGCCTTGCTCTCTTGCTCAGGCTGGAGTGCAATGGTGCGATCTTGGCTCACTGCAACCTCTGCCTCCTGAGTCCAAGCGATTCTCCTGTCTCAGCCTCCCGAGCACCTGGAACTATATGCATGTGCCACCACACCTGGCTGGTTTTTGTATTTTTAGTAGAGGGGGGGTTTCACCATGTTAGCCAAGCCAGTATTGAACTCCTTACCTCAGGCAATCCTCTTGTCTCATCCTCCCAAAGGTCTGGGATTACAGGGGTGAGCCACCACGCTTGTCCTAAAGGTTACTTATCCTGCAAAATTTAGGCTGGGTATGGTGGCTCATGCCTGTAATCCCAGCATATCGGGAAGCAGAGGTGGGCAAATCACCTGAGGTTAGGAGTTCAAGACCAGCCTGACCAGTATGGTGAAACCTCATCTCTACTAAAAATAAAAAAATATGAGCCAGGGTTTTTTAAAAGAGGGTGGGCGTCTGTGTCCAGTCAGTGTGATGGGAGCTGAGAAGCTCATCAGATGGAGAGGAAAGGGCTGCACCTGCTGGGAGGTTTGCAATATGGAAGTCACTAGGAGTGACATGACCAGGATGTGAATGAGGACTGTATTGTCCTTTGTTTTGTAAAACATGTATGGTGCAGATCATTGATTGACCCAAAGGAGAAAGGGTCTTAAATTCCTTATGTTTTCCAAACATAAAGAAATGACAGGCCAGGTGTGGTGGCTCACGCCTGTAACTGGGAGGCTGAGGACAGCCAATCAGTTGAGGTCAGGAGTTCCAGACCAGCCTGACCAACATGGTGAAACCCTGTATCTACTAAAAATATAAAAATTAGCCAGGTATGGTGGCAGGTGCCTGTAATTCCAGCTACTCAGGAGGCTGAGGCAGGAGAATGGCTTGAACCCAGGTGGCAGAGGTTGCAATGAGCCGAGATTGTGCCACTGCACAAAAAAAAAAAAAGAATTTTTTTGTGTGTGATTTTCTTTTTTTTTGAAATAGAGGAAAAAAAGAGGGAAAAAGAAATATTACTTCATTCCTGAAATAGGTATCAGTAATGGCGGATCAATATTTTGTGTGTTTAAAGTGGATAATGTATATTTTGTGTGTTTAAAATGGAGAGTTCTATTGAGTTTATTGTTCTGGATCTGAGTTCAAGTCCTGGATATCGTTATCAATTTTCTGTCTCGTTGAGTCTAAATCTCATTATGGGTCTTATGTATCTGGGCATTAAGATCTCTTATTATTACATTAATCCTTTTACCCTTGTGTCCTTGTAGCTTTGAAATCTATTAATTATGAGAATTGCAACTCCTGCTTTTTATTTATTTATTTTTGCTCTCCATTTGATTGGTAAGTTTTTTTCCAACCCTTTATTTTGAGTCTTTGTATATCTTTAGATATACCGTTAGATTTTGTCTGTATCTTTTGATTGGGGGATTTAGTCAATTTAAATTTAGGGTTACTGCCATTTGATATTAACTGGCTATTTTATCCTTTCGTTAATGTAAATTCTTCTTTATGTTAATGCCCTTTACTTTTTGGTGTATTTTTAGAAAGGCTCATACTGGTTGTTGCTTTCTATATATAATGCTTCTTTTAGAAGTTCTTGTAAAGCAGGCCTGGTGGTAATAAAATCTCTAAGTACTTGCTTGTTCCTAAAAGATTTTATTTTTCCTTCAATTGTAAAGCTTAAATTGGCAGGATATGAAATTCTGGGCTGAAAGTTCTGTTCTTTAAGTTTATTGAATATTGAGTCCCACTCTCTTCTAGCTTGTAGGGTTTCCGCTGAGAGATCTGCTGTAAGCCTGATAGGCTTCCCTTTATGGGTAACCTGATCTTTCCCTCTGGCTGCCCTTAATATTTTCTCCTTCGTTTCGATCCTGGTGAATCTAACGATTATGTGCCTTGGGGTTGGTCTTCTTGAGGAATATCTTTGTGGTGTTCTCTGTATTGCCTGGGGTTGAATAGTGTCCTGCTTTGCTAAGTTAGGAAAATTTTCCTGGATAATGTCCTGGAGAGTATTTTCCAGCTTGAATTCATTCTCTCCATCACATTCAGGTACACCAATCAAGCGTATATTAGGTCTTTTCACATAGTCCCATATTGCTTGGAGACTTTGCTCATTCCTTTTTATCCTTTTTTCTCTATTCTTGTCTTGTCGTTTTATTTCATTAAGTTGGCCTTCGACCTCTGATATCCTTTCTTCTGCTTGATCCATTTGGCTATTTAAGCTTGTACATATTTCACTAAGTTCTCGTGTTGTATTTTTCAACTCCATAAGTTCATTTGTATTCCTCTCTATATTGTCTATTCTTTTCATCATTTCATCGAACCTTTTTTCAAAGTTCTTAGTTTCTTTACATTGGGTTAGAACAAGTTCCTTTAACTGCCAGAAGTTTCTCATCATCCACCTTTTAAAGCCTACTTCAGATAATGGAACACAGTCCTTTTCCATCAGGGCTTGTTCCGTTACTGATGGGTCCTTTTCCATCAGGGCTTGTTCGGTTGCTGATGAGTCCTTTTCCATCAGGGCTTGTTCGGTTGCTGATGAGTCCTTTTCCATCAGGGCTTGTTCCGTTGCTGATGGGTTCTGATTTTGAGTATACTTGGCCTTCTTAGGCTGTTTTTTTCCCTTCATTGTAGATGAACCGCCTTTCTAATTAGGTTTCTGAGTCGACGTCTGATTTATTGATTCCCAGTGCTGGGATCTGAGCAACCCACTGTGGCAGCCTAAATAGCAGCGATAAGACTGATGGTGCTCTTCTGCCCGGGAATCTCTGGTCTGGCTTCCCTCTTGAGTCCGCAACAAGCGGCTCTGACTTCCCGGAGCTCCAAACTCCAGTCAGTAGGGGAAGCAGTCCCGTTGGCTCTGCATGAAGAGCTGCTGTGCCAAGACGCCGGCAAAACCGCTGCGGCGGCCACGAGAGTCACGCTGGCAACCCATGGGGCTCCTCCACTGGGAATCGGTGGATCCGTAAGTGACGAAAATTCGTCTAAAAGTGTGGAGTCGTCTCGTTCTCTGAGCTTTCACTGGGAGCTACAATCCCGAGCTGTTAGTGATCGGCCATCTTGGATCTTTTTTTTTTTTGAGTCAAAGTCTCCCTCTTGTCTCCCAGACTGGAGTGCAATGGTGTGATCTTGGCTTACTGCAACCTCCATCTCCCTGGTTCAGGCGATTCTTCTGCCTCAGCCTCCCGAGTAGCTGGGATTCCAGGCACCTGCCACCACACCTGACTAATTTTTGTATTTTTGGTAGACATGAGGTTTCACCATGTTGGCCAGGCTGGTCTGGAACTCCTGACCTCAAGTGATCCGCCGGCCTCAGCCTCCCAAAGTGCTTGAGCCTCTGCCCCCAGCCTTTTTGTGATACTTTTAAATCATCAGCTATTGTTAGTGTTAATGTGTTTTATGTGTGGCCTAAGACAAGTTTCCTTCTTTTAATATTGCCCAAGGAAGCCAAAAAATTGGATATCCCTGCTTTACGTCAAAAAAAAAAAAAAAAGACACTCTACATTTGGAATGCCTAAAAACACTACCAGCCATGCAAAAACCATGAGACTGGTAACTTCCAATCTTTTTGGAAGCAGTGGAGTCCCCTGGTGACATCTGAGGGGTGTGGTTTCCTCTTGGAGGAGGTCGATGCTTTCTAAAGATATTATTTTTTACCAAAATATTGTAAATGTCATTGACCTTTTCATTGTTTCAACTATTATTATTCCAGGCGATCAGTTTTCCACCTGATGATTTGTATCCTGGGCATGACTCTCTTGGCGTTCTGTGGATGCTTTTCACTATTGTGTTTCTGGGAGTTTCCACAGTTGGCCTCTTCCTCTGAAAAATTAGCTTGTGTGAGAGTATACTAACTTCCTGTAGAGGTACCCTTGTAATCATGCATAAGAAATTATTCAAAACAATTCATGATTCTGGGTTGTATTATGAATATTGGGTTTTACCAAAAACACCAGGGAAGTGACTTATTAGCATAAGGATTATAAAAATATCTGCCATTTACATTTATGAAAATTAGATAGGTTGGTGTTTATTTAATAGAATGTCAACAGAGCTTTGGGTCAAAAATAAGTTGTTTTTTTTTTTAACCTTTGTGCTCTTTGTCAGAAATGGAGTATGAAGTTTTTGCACTAAAATAGGAAATTCTGTCTAAACTTTTCTGCTTTATAATTCTATTGTATGGCTGGAAGGAAAGCTTTCACTTTCCTCTAAAGGTTCATTGCAGAAATGAACTAACAACAGTCAGCTTAACAGGAGAAGAAAAACATAGAACAGGCATAAACATGGGAGCCCGCCGAAAAATGAGACGGCAAGAAGGGTCAGATGGTTGATGCTTAAGGCGCGAGGGAGAGAGATGGAGATGGAGGCAACCTGAAGGGGGCGTATGTGATTTTTAGGGGAAATGAAAGAGCCCAAGCAACGAACAGTTGGCCTGAGACAAAGATCCTCTGAGATCACAGGGAAGAGGAGACAAACTGCAGGGAGGTGAAGGGCAGAGCTGCACGGCCTCGTGATGCAGAGAGAGCCCCAGAGAGTCTGCTGGAACTGCCTGTCAGAGAATCAATGCAGCGTGTGTCTGGGCAGGGAACTTCGAATGACGTCCCTCAAAGCGCGCATTCCCGGTTGCAGGTGGAGAGGGCTCAGTATGTCCAAAGTCTGTACTTGACAGGAACTTGGCTGCTAAGTCGTGCCGTCATTTGAGCCTTTTTGTCCATCGGGTAAATCGAGCTGTACCTTTTCTCTTGCTGTTCGTGACAGTCAAAATGTGGTTGTCTGGGGGCTGACCCTCCTTCTGAACAATGATCCAGGAAAAAAAGCACGAATCCCACAGTGCTTTTTATATTCAAGGGAAGAGGAAGAGTTTTATTTTTACAGCCTGGATAATTACCCGCCATTCGGGACTGCCTTTCAAGATATGTAGAAAATGGAAAATAGACGACTTATGAACATATCCAGGCACATTTAACTGTCTCTCTTTTTTTTTTTTGAAATGGAGTCTCACTCTGGCCAAGTGGGAGGAGGAAAAAGAGGGTGGTGAGGGGGGTACAGGGGGGCAAGCAGGAGGGACAGAAGATTTGCAAAAACAGTTGAAAGAAAAGAAAGGGAAAGAAGATGGTGGGTAAAACGATTTTGGGTAGCTGGAGGTGGGGAGGAAAAAGGGTGGCAAGTGGGAGGAGAAAAGGGGGTGCAGAGAGGGAGGGGGAAGAGAGCAGGAGGGAGAGAAGGTTTTGGGAAAAGATGAGGAAAGTTTTTAAGTGGATGGGGAAAAGAGGGTGGCAAGTGGGAGAAGGATGAAGGTGCTGAGCCGGAGTGGGGACAGAGGGTTGGGAAAAGACGGGGAAAATTGTTTGGGGTTTCTGGAGGACAGAAAGTGTGGAAAGCAGGTTGAGGGAAAGAAGAGGGTGAATGAGAAGCGAAGAAGGCTTTGTGAAAAGACGGTGGGCAAAAATTTGGGAGGCAGATGGGGAAAAGAGGTGGTGAGCAGCAGGACTGGGAGAAGGCTTTGAGAAAAGATGGGGAAATGTTTTGGGGTAGATGGAGGAGCAAAAGAGGGTGACAAGAGCAGGAGGGCAAGAAAGAAGGTGGCCAGGGAAAGGGAGAGAAGACGGTGGGGAAGAACAGTGAAGAAAAGTTTTGGGGTACGTGAATAATGAAAGGAGTAGTGAGTGGGAGCATAGAGAAGGCTTTTTGAAATGACGAAAACGTTTTGGGGTAGCTGGGGGAAGAAAAAGGATGGTGAGAGGGAGCCAGCCAAAGGCAGTCGGGAAAAGAAGATGGGGAAATAACGGTGGGGAACAAAGGTTTTGGGTAAATGTTTTTCTGATTTTTAAATCAGATTATTTGTATTTTTGCTTTTGAGTAGTTTGAGTTCATTATACGTTTTTTGTATTAACCCTTGCCTTATGCATAGTTTGCAAACACTTTCTTCCATTTTCTGGATTGTTTCTTCATGCTGCTGATTGCTTCCATTGCTTTACAGAAGCTTTTACCTTTAATGTGATTGCATTGATATATTTTTGCTTTTATTGCTTGTGCTTTTGATGTCTAGTTGATAATCCCTTGCCCTAACCAATTTCATGAAGCATTTATCCTATTTTTTCTTCTCTGGTAGTTTCACAGTTTCAGGTACTACATTTAAATCTTTATTTTGAGTAGATTTTTGTATATGGTAAGATAACCGTCTAGATTTATTCTTGTACATGTGGGTGTTGTGTTTTCCTAGCACAGTTTATTGAAGAGACTGTCCTTCCCAAAGTTGGGTCTTCTTGGTGCCTTTGTTAAAAATGAGTAGACGGTAAATGTGTGAATTTATTTCTGAGTTCTCTATTCTGTTTCATTTGTCTATGTCTGTCTGTCATTCATCTATATCTATCTCTGTCTCTCCCTTGCCCCTTTTTTGTGCCAGTTCCATGCTGTTTTGGTTACTATAGGTTTGTAGTATATTTTGAAATTAGGTAGTGTGATGCTTCCAGCTTTTTTCTTTTTATGCAGGATTCTCATCTGAGGTATTTTGCATGTCTATGTAAATGTTAGGGGTTTTTTTCTATTTCTATGAAGAATGTCTTTTGCAAGTTAATGGGATTGTGCTCATTCCGTAGATCCCACTGGGTGATATAGATATTTTAACAATATTCTTCTAGTGCCTGGACATGGGATATCTTTCCATTTACACGTGTCTGCTTTAATAGTTTTTATCTAAATTTCATAGTTTTCATTGTGGGATTTCGCCTTTTTGGTAAGTTCATCTCTAGGTATCATTTGTTGGTGGAGGCGGTAGCTACTGTAATGAAGTAGCTTTCCTGATTTCTTTCTTAGGTGTTTCATTATTGGTGCATGGGTGTGCTGCACATTTTTGCATATTGATATTGTGTCTTTCAACTTTAGTAAATTTATTTATTATTTCTAGTAGGGTTTTTTTGTAGAATCTTTAGGGTTTTCTCTCTATGTGTATGTGATCATTTCCCCTGCAGAGACAGTTTGACTTCCTTCTTTCCAGTTTGGGTGCCTTTTGTTGCATTCTCCTGTCTAATTGCTCTTCCAGTACTGTGATGAGTGAAAGTGGTAAAAGTGGCCACACCTGCTCCCGATCTTAGAGGAAGAGCTTTTTCGCTCTTCCCCATTGTTTGTGATGTTAGCTGTGTTTTTGTCATACATGGCCCTAACAATGGAGATGCTTCTAGCTGTGGGTTTGGCATAAAGGCTAATTGCTGTGTTAACAAAAATTCCTATCCCGAGTTTGTTGGGTGTTTCTATGATGAAACGATGTTGACTCTGTGGAAAGTACGTCCTGCATCTGTGGAGATGAGCACCTGGGTTTCTTCTTCCTGCTTAGTTGGTGTTTATTGGCAGAGATGGCTTCAGGATGCAAAACCAGCTTGATTTTCTGAGAAAAGGATGTAGTGATCCTGGTCTGTAGTCCTTCAAATACATCTTAGTATCAAAGTATGGTTTTTTTATTGTGCATTATTAATTGTACAATTATGCTAGACATTGGTCTAGGCCTTTCTGTTCTTGTGATTTCTACAAGTCTTGTTTTCAGAAGCCTCCCTTGCTTGAAGCCTTGGCTGCTCATCGTCGTAGCATGTCATAACATAGTGTAAGATTTGGGTTTGTTTCTGGAGTTTGATCTTCATGTAGAGAAAGGAGAAATGCTTAGAGCCACCATCAGTACAGTTGGGATGAACGCTGGGGATGGGCAGGTGTCTTTCAAGTCACCCCAAGCCTGAGGCTAGGGGAAACATGTCCACCCCCTGTAAACACTTTTATTCATGTTTTAATTACTCATTTTTCTTACATTGTTAAGTAGTCAAAACAGTATTAACAAATGAAAAGTAGGCATGTTACAACTTGCAGCATTATTTAAGTTTAAATATGTTATTTGTACCTCATCAACATTTTTAATTTTGTGGAGAAAGTCTAAGGTTAATTGTCAGTGTACTTGTAATAGTAGATAGAATAGTGTCTGTTTTACAAACCTTAACACCCTACGTTACATGTATGAACCCCAAAAATATGAGAAAGGCCTCAGATTTTTTAGGGAGTTTATTCTTCCAAGTTTGAGGATGCCTGCACCCGTGATGCATTGTCATGAGGTCCCGACAACATGTGCCCCAGGTGGTAGGAGCACAGCTTGGTTTTATGCATTTCAGGGAGACATGAGACCGCAATCATGATGCATAAGCTGTACACTGGTTCAGTCCAGAAAGGTGAGACAACCTGAGGAAAAGGCCAGACGGGCTCCAGACCATACGTAGACAAAGGTGAGTGCTTTCAGTCTTTTCACTTGTCAACTACCCTTTCCAGATGAGGCGACCAGACATGCATTTATCTCGGTGAGCAGACGGGTGACATTGGATAGAATGGGAGGCAGGCTTGCCCTAAGCAGTTCCCAGCTTGACTTTTCCCTTTAGCTTAGCGATTTGGGGTCCCCAAGATTTATTTTCCTTTCATAAGGTCTAACATGTTTTCCTATGAGTGTTAATTATTCATTGTGTATTTTATTACACAAATACGGCACAGATTTTTTAAAAATCATCAACTTCCTGACTAGCTATACAGACATAATTACATAGAAGTTCTACTAAATTCGGGAACATTCCAGAGTTTGGGTTTCCAATAATTCCTTGTGATTCTTTAAAAGGTAAAGTTTCTTTTTCTATAAAACACAGAAACATCTAAAATCACCCATAGAATGTCCTGCCATTTTTGTTTCTCTAGTTTCCCATTTTCTGCAAATCCTCGTTAAGGAAATTGACTTTGAATATGCTCTTAAACTCTTCTGTTTTAGAAAGCGTTGTGGTGAAACATGGAATCGTCATGGTCGCAAGTTCGGTTCACATGCCTTCTTTCTTTGAATATTTTTCCCCAGTGGCCAGTATTTGATTCTGGGGTATTATGGCTAAAAGGTGGGCACTGGAACAAAATAAAGACAAGAAGGATTTGGAATAAGTGGTCCACTCACAATGAATCAATCTGCCATTGGAACATATTTTTACAAAGTCACTCTTTTCAAAATATAGTGTGGATTGAAACAGAGTCTATAAGGTTAGTTTTTCTCCTGGTCTATGATGAACAGCATTTTAGAGAAGGAACCCAGGACACAACCACAGTACAAGAAAAAACATGATAAATAAGTTTACACATATGTAAAGCCCATACTCACCGAGTGAGGACTTAGCTCCACCTTCTCAATGGCCGAGTGTCTACATCAATTATTTGGAATTCTTTTGCAAAGGAGACTTCTATTCAACTCTGTTTGCTTATTCACCTACGTGAATAACACTACAGCATTATGCTGCACAATTTATTCCTGTGTTGACCATTGGTAGCTCTTTTTATTGGCTCCAATTTTTCTTGGACATATTTCAACTTTTTTTAGTGCTCTCTGATACTTCCAGATTATCCTGACTCATCTATTTACTGTCCCAGTTCTAGTATCAGACATTTCCTCAAACAGCCTGATTCCTTTCAGAATGGCAGGAAAACGTGTGTCTGGCTGCCAAATGAGCACGTTGTGTCTTGTTCCTCATTAGCAATGCCAGGAAGTATATGTGTGTATGTCACCTGCCTCTACACACCCGATTACAGAGGTTTCGACGTGGAACTGAATGTATCCGCATTAAACTAAACATAAGTTTACATTGATGTCTCTACCTCTGATCTGTCACACGAATGTTTCTACCCTTCTCCCCTTGCTAATTTGGAACCTCCCACTTCAACAGGGAGAGACCTGGTTCCTACCACCTGTGACTTATGTAACTCACTGTTTGATTCCAGATGCAGATACGGTGGTTTTACAGTTGTTCTCAATTACCCCTGTTGGAAAGAACTTTATAAAATGGAATTCAATGATAAAATGTAGTTCATTTGCCTTCAGCCTGCAGATTCTATTCATTTTCAAAGAGACTTAGGTCAGCACCATTTTCCCTACAGCTTCAGTGAGTTTTCCCACATTTGTGTCTTAGTACATTTTGTGCTTCTGTAACAGAATACCTGAGGCAGGGTGATTTGTAAGTAAAAAAGGATGATTTCGCTCACAATGCTGGTGGCTGGAATGTCCGAGATTGGGCAGTTGCATCTGGTGGGGCCTCAGTCTTTTTCACCTCATGGTGGAAAGTGGAAGGGGAGCAAGGGGTGCACCAGAGATCACAGCAAGAGTGAAAGCACGAGGGAAGCCAAGGAAGCCAGGCTCTGTTTAACTATCTACTCTTGCAGGAATTAATCTATTCCTGTGAGAGCAGACGGAACTCATCCCCATGGGAGGGCATTAATCTATTCATGGGGAATCGATCTCCATAATCCAGACACCTTCCACTAGGCCCGACCTCCCCACACTGCCACCTTGGGGGTCAAATTTCAACATGAGTTTTTGCAGGGACAGACCACATCCAAACCATAGTAATTTGTAGCATAGTTAAATTATTTTTCATACTGTGTATTCTGTGCTGGGATACTCCACATCCTGAATAATATTATTTAATTAGAATAGAGTTTGAGTTACCCATCTAGCTGTACAATTCTGCATGTTTTGACAAATGCATAGTGGCAGGTATCCACTATTAAAGTATAATAGGGAATGCTTCAAACCCCGACCCCAGGCAGCCAGAGGCTTCCCATCTGTGTAGTTTCCCTTCTCCAGAATCTCACTAAATGAGACATTCTCCCGAGACTGTCTTCTTCCACTTAGCCATGTGCATGCAATAATGGTGTTTTTTATAAGAATAACAACTTAATTAGAATCAAATATATAAACTTCAAGATTTTAAGTATCTAGTGAGTATATTAGCTTGTTTGACTAGAACTTAAACAAAATCGAAATCTGTGTTTTATATTCAATATGATGGTTCTGAAAGCACAGTTGTTTTATTACAGCAAAAATATTAAATCCATCTTATCTAACTATGTTTGATCTAAACTGTGTTCACCTGAAAAACACAATTTGTATCAGTTCCTACATTTCTAGGATTTTGGGGAAAATTTATATATAAATGCTTATTTTTTTTCCAAGCTAAGTTAGAACAGAGCACTTTTAGAGGATTTTGTAAATGAATTTTGCATTGCTATCTGGAGTTAAGAAAATATCACATACACATAACATACATTAATAGGCATAAAACACAAATAGAGATCCCATAGGTTTCATCCTAAAATTGTAGCCATGAATCAGGCATACATAGTCTCTTGGTTAATTTTAGAGATCCGTTTGATTGGATCTAGAGCTACATAGCTGGTAAAGCACAATTTCAACATCTCTGCTCATTTGATTACAAGTTCTCAGGCATCTAAAATACTTAACAAAATGACAATTTCTAGGGCTTCTGTGGGAGAGTATGGAAGGTCTTTTGAAATTTGTAACACTGTCAACTGAAGAACGATGAGGTTCATAAATTTGGAAAGGAGAGATTTCTTTATTTTTATTTTCATTTATTTATTTTTTTGAGAAGGGGTTTCACTCTTATTGCCAAGGCTGGAGTACAGTGGTGTGATCTTGGCTCACTGCAAGCTCCACCTCCCAGGTTCAAGCAATTCTCCTGCCTCAGCCTCCCAATTAGCTGGGATTACAGATTTCCACCACCTTGCCTGGCTAATTTTTTGTATTTTTAGTAGAGACATGGTTTCACCATGTTGGCCAGGCTGGTCTCAAACTCCTAAACTCAGGTGATCCACCCACCTTGGCTTCCCAAATTGCTGGGATTACAGGCATGAACCACTGCACCCAGTGAGAGATTTACTTCCCAGTGAGAGAAAGGGTTGCAGCCGTCAGGGTAGTCCTTCCAACAGGCTGGGAAGCGTAGACTCCAGCCAGAAGCCAGAAGGAGACACTTCAAGGGAGAGGTAAAGGAAACAGCAATTTACGCTGAGTGGCGTGGCCAAACACACACATTTAATAAGCTCTAGGAGGAGTCATGAATATTTATGAAAGGAGAAAGGCGTGCAATCGCAGTTGAGTTTCTTACTCCTTCATGGGTCCCACGTACAAAAAATGGCAGTGTTAGCATGAGCCCAGGGTGAAGTTTTCAGCCCTCTGACATTAAAAGGTGAAGCAGAGGACATGAAAACTTGCTCTGTGCATCCTCTGTATACTGACGAGAACCTCTCTGTCATAGGTGGTCTCTTATCGGCAAGAAAGGAGAGGCAGTGGCCGGGCGCGGTGGCTCACGCCTGTAATCCCAGCACTTTGGGAGGCCAAGGCAGGTGGATAACAAGGTCAAGAGATTGAGACCATCCTGGTCAACAAGGTGAAACCCCGTCTCTACTAAAAATACGAAAAATTAGCTGGGCACAGTGGCACGTGCCTGTAATCCCAGCTACTCGGGAGGCTGAGGCAGGAGAATTGCCTGAACCCGGGAGGCAGAGGTTGCGGTGAGCCGAGATCGCGCCATTGCACTCCAGCCTGGGTAACAAGAGCTAAACTCCGTCAAAAAAAAAAAAAAAAAAAAAAAGAAGAAAGAAAGAAAGAAGGGAAGGAAGGAAGGAAGGAAGAGAAAGGAAGGAAGGAAGGAAGGAAGGAGAGGCAGCTTCAGGCAGTTGGTTGGTATCAGTGGTGGAGTCTTTTGAAAGGGCTGGTTTTTCTTAAATCCTTTGGTGAGGTGTCTGTTCAGATTTGTGTACATCTTTAATTGGGCTGTTCTACTTAGTTTTAAGATTCTTTTTGTCTTTTGAATACAATTTCTTTCTCAGATCTGTATTTTGCAAATATTTTCTTTCAATATGTGGCTTGTCTTTCTATTCTCTTAACAAGGTCTTTTCAAGAATATACACTTTTAATATTTAAAAAATCCACTTAATTCTTTGTTCTGTATTGACACTTTGTGTTGTTTGTTAAAAATTCATTACTGAGCCCAAGGGCACGTTGCTTTTATTCGTTTTCTTCTAGAAATTGCATAGTTTTGCATTTTTAGTGTAAGGATGATTTTGAGTGATTATTTGTATAAGTTGTAAAGTTTTCATCTACATTCATTTCATTTCCTATGGTTTCAAATGAATCGTTCCTTCACTACTTCTGGGAAAGATACAGGATAGTGGGCTCTGTTAGAGTAGGTACATAGCTAGACACGAACATGATGGGAAGGCTCACCTGGAAGGACCATCAAAAATTGATATATTAGTAGCATCTCTAATGCTGGAGTGGATGGGCACCTGTCACTTGTGGGTAGAAGGAAGAAGAGGTACCTATGCAGAAAGAAACACCCTAGAATTCCTCTTTGGGTGCCCCAATCATCATTCACTCTACAGTTAAAATGTCAGAAAATTGATACCTACATGCTGATAAGAAAGGCAAAGGGGACATGCTTAAGAGAAACCTGGCGGCCAGGTGCAGTGGTTCAAGCCTTTAATCCCAGCACTTTAGGAGGCTGAGGTGGGTGGATCATGAGGTCAAGAGATCGAGACCCTCCTGGTCAACAAGGTGAAACGCCGTCTCTACTAAAAATACAAAAATTAGCTGGGCATGGTGGCGTGTGCCTGTAGTCCCAGCTACTCAGGAGGCTGAGGCAGGAGAATTGCCTGAACCCAGAAGGCGGAGGTTGCGGTGAGCCAAGATCACGGCATTGCACTCCAGTCTGGGTAACAACAGCGAAACTCCATCTCAAAAAAAAAAAAAAAACCTGGCGCCATAAGTATAGATTAGGGCAGAGAAGGACATTCAAAAGAGATAGGCAGGCACAGGAGGTACAGACGTGACTGCTGTAGGACCTTACTGGGAGGTGGGAAGGAGCCAGCCCCAACAGCAGGTTTGGATTGATCACTGCACATGTGCCTTAACCAACAGTGAGGAGGTCTTACAAGCCTAAGAGGGGCAAGTCGGGGACCTAAGTCAGGAGCAGAAAAACCAGACAGAGAAAACAGGTGGAGAGTTGAGACAGGCAGGAATGTGAAGAAGTTCAAAATTAAATTCCCTGCACAGGACTCTCGAGCTGTTTTCCTGCATGGTCAGCCCACTCCTCCCTTGGGGGCCTACCTATTTTTTCAACAATAAGCTCTTTACACTGTATTTATCTTCAATGAAGTCATCTGCCATCTTTTTACTGCCTCGGTGAAAATATTTCTTCTAAGTTAGACAAGAACTGTGACATCAGCTCTTTCCAGTAATAGCTCCGTTTCAGTTCGAATTTCCAGAACTGTGGGTGCTGAATAACTGGTGCTCTGACTTTAAGTGGTGCAGAAGGAGGCCAGTAGGGGGCGCCAGCCATCACACTGGGAGCAAGGGGACCGTGCAGTGCTCTGGTTGCCAGCACCGGGGGTGCTGCCCCGACACTATGAGCAAGAAGGTCTTGCAGTGCCCCTAGTGGCCAGCAGGGGGCGTGCCGCCACTACACCGGGAGTAAGAGTGCCCAGCAGCGCAGGCACCACACCGTGGATAAGAGGACGCTGCAGTGTCCTGGTTGCCAGAAGAGGGCGTGGGCACAGCACCGTGAGCAAGAGGGCCCTGCAGTGCCCAGCCGCCAGCAGGGGGCTCCCAAACCCGCCTTTTCAGATGGCGTCACGGCGTGCAGGGCAGTCTGCAGAGCGGAGCTGCGCTGTCCTCAGTACAGACCTGGACGGCACCGGCAGGGTGGAGCTGTGCTCTCCGCAGCAGACCTTGCGGGCACACCCTGGCTTTGGGACGACTCTGGGCGGGTCCACAGTGTGTAAACCCT